GGGGATGTGACACTCACGGTGTGCCCACCAAACAGGCTCATTGTGCTGCCTCATTCACTTGTACATCTGTGCAGCTAGTAGTGTATTGGCAATGGTCCAGGTTCTGTTCAGGCCAATGTGTGACCCCTCCTCTGCTTCCCATGTGACTGGAAAAGATTAGGGAGGTTAGAGATGCCTTAGGTCTGACTTCTAGCCTTGCCTCGGCCTTTCCCCTGTAATTGCCTCATGTGGATTTCTTCTCAAAATGAAAACTTCCCCATCACGCCCTGCTCCTCCCCACAAAAAGTCAACCAGCTCCCAGAGAGAATTTAATAATGGCCATTTACACTTCCGTGTAAAATTGCTTAATAATAAGGAACATTTGCATTAAACACTTCGCGGTATACATAGTACTTTTAAACACATTATCTACTCTAATTCCCGAAACAGATTTGAGAGATCTTGTTACAAGTCCTGCTTACAAAGGAGTTACAGTCTGCCAAGGAGAGTCCCATGATTGTCTTGCATAGGGTCTGGCAGAACTTTCATAGGCGATCCTTGGCACCACCCATATTGTAAGCTAACCCATACTAATTTGTTTTGCATAACTATTAAACACGTTTTGGTAAATAGCGGCAGCTTGAGACACAACCTGGCTACCGGGTTATAATAAAAGCACGTCTTGCACTGAGTTCTGGCACCCATACAGACGTTTATTAAGCAACCATTTGTAAAAGTAGGCATAAAACCTACTGTCTGTAACCTCAAAGAAATCCCAGCTCCTGAAGATTCTAGATGCTCCAGCCCCACCTTGCATGAAGACAGGTTTTACAAGGCAGGATTCCCTTACCCTATAGGGGTTAATAAACCATTAAAGTCCTCTGAACCTAAAGGCAGAGAAAGAGCCATTTAGCTTTTAGGCTCAAAGCACCATCCCTAAGGGTGTACGAGCCCCCTTCCCCTGCCCTGCTCACTCTGTCTGTAAATCTATTTCGGGAAAGGACGGAGAACATCTCTAATCCGCAAATTTGAACACCACCAACTTCACCAGATTTCCAGTTTTTATCATGCTAATTGACAAGCCACTAATTTCACTGATGAAAACCCATTTCTCACCTTAATGATGCCAGTTGGCAATGCCTCAGGGGGCCATGGGAGTTAAAGAGAGCCAAACTACCCAGGAAGGAAGCCATCTGTGGAGCCTGGAATTTCTGATTAGATCCTGGTTGACCACTCCTAGAGTGTATATTCCCAGTTAGGTTGGCTCTCTGCTTCTGAATGTAATTAAACTAATTTCAAACACACACATACAGCTGTATTATATTGTCTCTGTCCACATCTTCTAAAGTAAATAGTAGACGTCCTGACCAGCTATTAGCTATTTGGGGAAGCCAGTAGGCTGGTAGGTATTATGTGTCGTGCTCTACAAGGCCTCCACCTGGAGGGTTAGCAGGGGCAGTCCAAAGAGGGTGCCCCTTAGCACCCTTTGAAAATCCAGTTTGCTCGGTTTTGTTTTTGTTTTTGTTCTGTTTTGCACTGAGGCACAGTTGATTTCAGAAGGACTTCCCAGTCCCCTTGATGAATGTGTACTTTATCTGAATCCGGAATCAGGTTCACCTTATCTGAAGCATAGGGAAAAGTCTAGTCTTTTTAATCCTCGAAGGGAGCACTGAGCATTTGTTGGTTTGAGCAAGACATCATTTAATGACACCAAGCCCAGATTCCTGCCACTTCTGTTTACCTGGTGTAGTTTACAGGTGGCTTTGATTGTATCAGGCCATCTTGCATGAAGGTAAATTCCTCCAGTTGAGAATAGAACTCAGGAATTTGCTCCTTTGTTATAACTGTTGCCTAACTTTCCAAAAACTCAGGATCTCTGAGGCATGGTTGTGAATCAGTAAGTCAGGGTTATCTCTTTAATTACTTCTACCTTGATTAGGGTGTAGAGCTGCTACTCTCTGAAGTACATGGAACAGAGTGTCAAGAAAAATGTTCTGAATTTATGGAAAGAAGCGGGAGGAGCCCCCTTGTAACGGGAAGGAGAGAGAGCCGCTTTCCTGTTTACACCCTCCAGTGCCTAGATTTTTTACACAAGTGTATTGGAACGGAATCATGTCTCAGTACATTGGGACTCCAAACTCTGACTTTTAAGCAGTAATCAGCATTTGTAAAATCTTAGTTTGACCCATCATAGAAGATATTCAAGGAATGAGACTCATCATTTCTGACGAAAAGCTGATGGTAGTCTTTTTGACATTGCGAAAATGTATTGTCAGAAGCTGTTCTCAGACTTTTAAAGTTTTGAATTGGAACACTTGCTACTTCAGAAAGTATGCCTTGAAAAGGGTTGGTATACTTTTTAAGTTCTGAGACAGAAAAAAATGCTGGCACAGCATCTCCTAGCTCATTGTCCGGCGCTTGAATGGACGTACCCAGGAGAAAGAGACAGCGTGCTCTTGGGCAATGCTGTGGAGGGGGTTCAGGACCTTCTATCCCTGTGATTAGCAATGGGAGAGAACTATAGGCAAGTTTTTCACTCCTCCTGACAAGACGAAATAAACTCCAAAAGAGACTTAGGGCTTCCTAGGAAGTCCAATTTTTGTTAAGAAAAAAAGTGTCTCCTGGAGCTGATTGTTGCTGCTAATCTCATTATGACCCCACAAAATAAGCTTCCTGCATGTTTAATGAATGGATTAACGACCAAATGAGCTATAGAATGAATTATTTGCCTTTTAAATTCCTTTAATGCTATGCCACCCTCTTTCCTCTTATGCCAACTACTCTAAAATACTTTATGTTCAATAGGGCAGTGATTTTCAACCATTTTTCAGTTCCAGCAACTTCCTACCATTTTCCTATCTTCCCTCCTCCGCCCCCAGAAGCCAAATAGGATACAGAAAAAGCTCTCCTTATTCCCATAAAGACTGTTAGCAGTAAATCATTGACTAAATGAAGCTGGGGTGGGAGACTCACAGATAATCTGTCTCTCACTGTAGCAGTGCCTTGTGTCTCTTTTTGTTGGTCTCTTTATTCCAGTAATAGCTTTCCATGGAGTGGGCTAATTTTGACGTAGGTTTATTTGAAATTGAATGGCAGCCAGTAAGTGGCAGGCATTCAAATTTTCTTTAATTCTTAGGGTGCCTGGGTGGCTGAGTCGGTTAAGCATACCCCTCTTGATTTCAGCTCAGGTCATGATCTCCTGGTCATGAGATCAAGCCCCGAGTCAGGCTTGGTGCAGAGCACAGAGCCTGCTTGGGACTCTCTTTCCCTGCCCCTCCCCCACTCATTCTTTCTTTCTCTCTCTCAATAAATAAATAAAACTTAATATTTTTTCTGTAATTCTTAATGACATAGATATTACTGGCGATTGCCTTGCCAAAAGAAAGTCTAGTGAATGTTTTTAAAAGGCAGTAAAAATGTCTTTGACATGACTCTTGATGTCACTCTAAAGATAAAAGAACCATTAGCTAATGGTAAAAAAATAAAATAAAATAAAGATATTAGCATTATAAATATTAATGGTATTAAAGGACCAGATTTGGACAAAGACCAGAACTAGACTGGAAGTTCATCCAAGACCAGAAGGTATTGACAAAAGAATCATTGTTACCTATTCCTAAAGAAGGAACATATATTACTTGATTGATTTAAGTCTAAAGGAGAATGTAAAAAATGAAGAGTGAAAGAAACCACCTGTTCATGGGTGACCTTCCAGCTCATGGATGACCTTCTAGGTCATGGATGACCATGAGAGTTTTCAGCATTCTGACAGAAGTGCAGAGCATGTCGGGTAAACTCCCATGCTGTTTAAGTCTCATGAACAAATCCATAATTATGAACCTTCCTTGGAAGTGTTTAGAAATGAATCTCCTGAGAATCATCCTGAGGTGGTGTTTTAATATTATGTTCTAAGAGTTTAAAATTGTTCACAACCGATGCAAATGAAAATGGTACCATCTTGCAGTTTTTGCATTGTACTATGTCAGTAATACGAGGCATACTCTAGACTCAAGAGAGGAAGACAAGCCTGACCAAGGTGTCAGTGAAATTCTTGAGGAACACTCAAATTAAGCTTACAATTTACCACTGAATTTTCTGAGGTAAACCAGAATCCTTGGGTATGAAAAAAAAATCCTCCTAGAATTTGAAAATTAATTTTACTAATGCCAAAAAAGAAATCACATGGGATTGGTGAAAATATAGGATTTATTTCAAAACATTGAAAAGATATGGTTTTTCTTATTGAACAATAAGATTGGAGCTATCACATATAGTGCATTTTAGGAACTGGAGAATTGCTGCTGGCTACTAACTTTTCAAAGTAGCCCTCACTCCCTAACTAAGGAGTGTTGTTTTGATATAGTCCCAGAGAACAGAACTATACAGTCAGTGGCTTTGGTTACGGTGTTTATAATGTACATGATCGATTAAGAGCCATTGCACTGGGGCCCTGTAGCTGTTAAGGAGCCATTGAAGGAATCTATGTTTTCCAGTATTTTCTCTTGGAAAAATTTTCCAGGAAGTTTCTTGTCTCCAGAAATATTGCATTACATATGGCAGAGGATTTCAATAAAAATCGCTGATGCCAAAGGACCTTCTTGCTCTACTTGGGGACACACAAATAGTCCTATTACATTTCTGCAGTTGTTTGCTATTAAGATGTTTTATTAAATTCTGGTACAATTCCTGTATAATCTTTTCTACTTTAGAAGATATTTGAGCAATGTCTTCAAATGATCTTAATCTTAATTTACTTTTAAATTTAAGAATGGGACTGGCATTTATTGAACGTTCTCTGGACCCCCAGTAAACAAAGCAGAATCTGTAACATCGAGAGGTTTATGAATGAATTACCACAGCAAAATGAATATGCGAAGAATTATTAGAAGCGAAATCTCTGTTCCAAAGAACTTGTCATTGCTTCAGTTTTTCTTCCAGTGAGTTACCAGTTAATTTCTCAGGGTTCGCCTCCATAAGAGATTTAATAGCTAACCCTGACCTTTGTTGTCTGTTTATTTCAGAAGCCTCCCCAGCTTTCTGAGGATGATGTCCGGCTAAAAAACGAGAGAGACAATTGCAGCGTCAGCCCCCTGGAGCCTGCAACCAGCTCCCTTCCCCCAGATCACAAAAACATGGAAATTGAAGTCTCTGTTGCAGAATGTAAAAGTGTTCCTGGAATCACCTCTACCCCGCCTTCCATGGACCACCCCTCCCCTTTCTACTCACCCCCCCACAATGGCCTCCTCGCTGATCACCATGAATCTCTGGATAATGATGTGGCCAGAGAGATCCGCTATCTAGACGAGGTGCTGGAGGCCAGCTGCTGCGACTCTGCTGTGGACGGAACTTACAACGGCACGTCGTCCCCAGAGCCTGGAGCAGTCGTCGTGGCGAGCAGTCGAAGCCCACCTGCCCACACAGCCATCCAGCCAGAGCTCACGGAGAGGGCAGTGGGCAGACAGGCCCCTCCTCACATCGAGTTCAGCACAAGCAACTCTGACGCCATGGCAGAGGGTGGAAAAGCCAACGGCCACTCGCCTGACCAGCCCCAAGATCTGCTGGGGGACGGCCTCCAGGCACCCGCGAGCCCCAGCTCTTCCACCAGCTCGCGGTGCTCGGGCCGTGACGGGGAGCTCACGCTCACCACACTGAAGAAGGAGGCCAAGTTTGAGCTGCGTGCCTTCCATGAGGACAAGAAGCCCTCCAAGCTCTTTGAGGACGACGAGAATGAGAAGGAGCAATTCTGTGTCAGAAAAGTGAGGCCTTCGGAAGAGATGCTGGAGCTGGAAAAGGAAAGGAGAGAACTCATCCGGAGCCAGGCCGTGAAAAAGAATCCTGGCATCGCGGCAAAATGGTGGAATCCTCCCCAGGAAAAAACCATCGAGGAGCAGCTGGACGAGGAACATCTGGAGTCGCACAAAAAGTACAAGGAGCGCAAGGAGAGGAGGGCGCAGCAGGAACAGCTGCTCATGCAACAGCAGCAGCCGCCCCCAGCCCAGCTCTGCGCGGCCCCTGTGGCCTCCCGTGACCAGGCCAGCGCGGCAGAAAACGTAAAGGAGGACATCGTCACCGAGCAGATAGACTTCTCTGCTGCTCGCAAACAGTTCCAGCTCATGGAGAGTTCCAGGCAAACAGTGGCCAAGGGCCAGAGTACACCTAGGCTCTTCTCTATCAAGCCCTTTTATAGGCCTCTGGGGTCAATCAACTCAGACAAGCCACTGACCATCTCGAGACCAGCTTCCGTCGGGGGCCTTCCAGAAGACAGTGGTGCATCAGCAGCCAAGGGGCAGCAGAAAGCCAGCTGTGCCCTGGAGAGTCAGCCTGCGGGGGGAAGCCAGGGCAGCACAGCTCCTCAGGGGAGGGAAGGGCCCTACAGTGAGCCTTCCAAACGTGGGCCCTTATCCAAACTGTGGGCAGAGGATGGGGAGTTTACCAGTGCCCGGGCCGTCCTCACTGTGGTCAAGGATGACGACCCTGGGATCTTGGATCAGTTTTCAAGGTCAGTCAATGTCTCTTTGACCCAAGAGGAGCTTGACTCTGGTTTGGATGAATTGTCAGTGAGGTCCCAGGATACCACTGTCCTGGAGACCCTGTCCAACGATTTTAGCATGGACAACATCAGTGACAGCGGGGCCTCCAATGAGACAACCAATGCCCTCCAGGAGAATTCACTGGCTGATTTTTCTCTGCCCCAGACTCCACAAACTGACAACCCTTCAGAGGGCCGAGGAGAAGGCGTCTCCAAGTCCTTTAGCGATCACGGTTTCTATTCCCCTTCATCCACACTGGGAGACTCTCCATCGGTTGATGACCCCTTGGAGTATCAGGCTGGTCTCCTGGTGCAGAATGCCATTCAACAAGCCATAGCCGAGCAAGTGGATAGAGCTGTGTCCGAAACCAGCAAGGGTGGGACAGAACAGCAGGGACCTGGAACAACTCTAGAGGAAGCTGGCACTGGGGCTCCCAGTTCAGAGAAGCCTCAGAGCATGTTTGAGCCGCCTCAGGTGTCTTCTCCTGTTCAAGAGAAGAGGGAGGTATTACCAAAGATTCTGCCTGCTGAAGACCAGGCACTCAGGGAAAGGGGGCCCTCCCAGCCACTGCCAGCCGTACAGCCCAGTGGCCCAATAAACATGGAGGAGACCAGACCGGAAGGGAGCTATTTCAGCAAGTACTCAGAGGCAGCTGAGCTGAGGAGCACAGCCTCGCTCCTGGCCACTCAAGAGTCCGATGTGATGGTTGGGCCCTTCAAGCTGAGGTCAAGGAAGCAGCGGACTTTGTCCATGATCGAAGAAGAGATCCGAGCAGCTCAAGAAAGGGAAGAGGAACTGAAGAGGCAGAGGCAAGTCTTGCAGAATACCCAGAGCCCCAGGGCAAAGAATGCCCAATCGCTGCCCTCCCGAACGTCATGCTACAAAACCGCTCCAGGTAAGTGAAGTGCGCACCAGAGACAGACGCCGTGGGAATCGGTTGATTCCAGCTTATGTGTTTCTTTGTGGAGCCTCCTCTGGGTGTGGCTAGAATTAGTGTCGGGGGCACTGACACAAGGGTTTTTGTATCCAGGGACATGCAACTGGAGTCAGAAGAACCCTGGGCCTGGACGGTGTGCCATTTCCCAGAGGATGCAATGGCTCCTTTCCCATCGTTCTGTTCTGGGTTTGGTTTAGTAGAGAATTGTTCTCTTTTGTTTGAAAGGGCTGCCTCTGGCTGAGGGAGGGGCAGTGTGTCAGAGTGAGCCCATGTGTGGACTGTGTTGGAGTCAGTAGCTTGACCCTTAGCATCTGCAGTTAAATCAAACCCATCTGATTTGGAGGACGTGCTCTACTAACGCCGTCTGAGTGCCAGGTTCTTTCCTAGCAATGGCAGTCATGACCCAGGGTTGCGGATCGACCATAGATGTTTTTGTCCCTCTTCTGTATGATTGGATTGGTCTTCCTTTTAGTCATCACGGTGCCATTTCTTTGGAATCAGGGGCGGTCTCATTCATTCTTATCCTATGACACATTTGGAGAAATTGACTCTTTGTAAAGGCAGGTCTTTAGTCCCCTCCCATTGCCTGGGCAGTCCCTTTGTATACGTTGTGTAAATGGCTGGTGTTAAGTATGGTGGTAATGTTGCTACCATTATGGACAACAGTGTGACCAGTAGTTTTTGTTTCCCATTTGGATATGATGGCAATCAGAGATCTGCACGTCCTGCTGCAGCGAAGTGCCACTCAAAATGTGATCTGGGCTAGTCCACGGACTGTTCGTTACCGGTCCATGCCGAGAATAAGTACAGACATTGAGAGCAAGCATTTGAAAATTCTTGTCGTAATTTGGTATTGTCCTCAAATCCAAGTGTGGAGTTTTGTGCTTTTTTTAGAGTATTGGTTCATAATGGACTGAGGGGTAACTTCTTTCACTGGAGACTATCTAAAAAGCATTACCCTAACATATAATTGTTGGCGTTTGACTTGGTTTATCCAGATCTTATTCCCATCTTGACACTTGGCTTCCGTCAAATCTACAGTGACTCAAGGTAACTCTTTTGATTATTAATTTTTAAATTTTGAAACAGTCTCAACCTTAAGTTCCCAAGTACAGTACAAATATCTCTTATTATGAACCATTTGAGAATAAATTGCCAACATGATCTCCGTCATCCCAATTTTATAGAATATGCCTCATTTTGGATTTGTCTGTGCTTTCACATGAGTACATGTAGGTTATGCATCTTTGGTAGGACTACCACAAAAATGATGTTATTTCTTCTCACTGTGTCCAATCAGGGACAGATGTTGACTTTTTTTTTCATATAATATCAACTTGGATCACTTGATTGAGGGAGTGTCTTATAAGGTTCTAGAGTAAAATTACTTTGTCCTTTGTAATTAATAAATATTCTGGGGCCTCTGGGTGACTCAGTCAGTTAAGTGTTCGACTTCAGCTCAGGTCATGATCTCATGGTTCATGAGTTCAAGCCCCGTGTCGGGCTCTGTGCTGACGGCTCGGAGCCTGGAGCCTGCTTCAGATTCTGTGTCTCCTTCTCTCTCTGCCCCTCCCCTGCTTGTCCTCTGTCTCTCTTTCAATAAACAAACAAACAAACAAACATGGGACGCCTGGGTGGCTCAGTCGGTTAAGTGTCCGACTTTGGCTCAGGTCGTGATGTCATGGTTTGTGGGTTCAAGCCCTGCATTGGGCTCTGTGCTGACAGCTCAGATCCCGGAGCCTGCTTTGGATTCTGTGTCTCCCTCTCTCTCTGCCCCTCCCTGCTTCGTGCTTTCTCTCTCTCTCTCTCTCTCTCTCTCTCTCTCTCTCTCTCTCAAGAATAAATAAACATTAAGATTTTTAAAAATAATAAATAAATATTAATAAATATTCTGTACAGTTAGTTTGGTACTATGTAATCTTTATCCTACTTCTCATCAAACTTTAAATCTATTCATGTATCTATTTATGTAAGTGTGGTCTTGTGGGTTCCTATTATATTCAGTGGGTTATAATCCATTTCTGTTAGGTTTATTCTTAATTTGTGTAGATATAGCTTATGGGAACCCTTTCAAGTTAACTTCATGTCCTTTTGACATGGTCTCATTATCCTATGGACATGTCCTCACTTTCTGACGCCACAATATGTTCCAGTCTCATCTGATACTTTCCTAACCCTGAAATGAGCCATTTCTTCAAATAGCACTAATTCCTGTTAGTGGAGAATGGAATTTAGAAATCAAAATCTGGGTGATTGGTGTGCTCATTGTTATTAGATTGTTTGTCCCTGTTCCCAGGCACTCTCAAAGAACAGAATTAGAGAATATATACACATTCTGTCTGTCTGTCTGCCTGTCTGTCTATCCACCTACCTACCTACCTATCTATCTTGAAAACCATGAGCTCACCCTGATACCTTTAACTCTAATCTAATACCACAGGGCTCATATTCTCCCCATATTTGTAACCTCCTTGTTGACAAGATACCTGGTTCAAATACCCTTGATGTATTTATTGTTTGAGCAATCCTCTCCTTGCCTTGTGTAACCAGTCTCCTATTTTCCTTACCCAACTTGGGTTCCAATACCCTGTGCTAGGTCACCTCTGTCCCCCACCCACCTGCTGTGGCTCCAGCACAGCACTCTGGGCCACTGTGGTATCCTACCCTAAACTGCAGACACCATCTTGTAGAGCTCCTCCCCAGTGGCTTTTGGACTAAATTGTTCATGAAGGAAAGAAAGAGAGGAGAAAGAGGAAAAGCCTGGTGACTTTCTCGATATGGTTTTTAATTCCTACAGGTCACAGGGCAGTGGCCAGCTAAGTGAGGCAAAGCAAACTTGCAAGGGAGGATTTTTTGTGTGTGTGCTTAATAGTGACCAGTTGGCTTTTCCCAAAGATCCTTAGTTGTCAAGTTCATTTCAAATTCTTGTGGGCTAGCTTGGCACAGAGATGCCAATGGGCATTCTGCATGGTATCCTAGAAAAAGGTTTTATACCACTTGAATTCAGCCCAATCTGAGGAGCCTACTTCATGTGTAAGTGACTGTAAAGGGCCTGCACAAGAGCCCAAAGTCTGGCAGAGGAAGGTTCTTCAGGCATCTCATCAACTTCTGCTCACATAGGAGGTAGATACCATGGCTCTCCTGTCAGTTATAGCTGGCTCTACCTACCTAACCCTCCCTTTATGTTATTTATTATAGAACCTTCCTGCAAGTGCATGTGCTCAGTGGGTATTTTCATTTTTCTTCACTCCACTTTTTTTGTTTTGTTTTGTTTTGTTTTTAAGTAGGCTTCACGCCCAGTGTGGAGCCCAATGCAGGGCTTCAACTCATGACCCTGAGATCAAGACCTGAGCTGAGATCAAGAGTCAGATGCTTAACTGACTGAGGCACCCAGATGCCCTTTACTCCTCTTCTTAATTGAGCCTCCCACCATATTGTTCCCTTCCTTTATTTCTCCCATGTGAACAAGATTAAACACATTTCAACACTTTCCTCTGTTCCCTGACCTGCTACAGTCTTTTGATCTTCCCCACCAGGCTTAAAATAAGACAGGGTTCTAATGTTTTCCCTCAGCATCCCAGCAGCCCAGGACTACTTTTCCCAGCACTTCCCTCCAATGTCCTCCCCTACATCCCATTCCATAGGGTTGATTCTGCCACTTTGGTAAGATGGTAATCCATCCATGCAAGTCCACATACTGCAGCTGTCTAATTATTGTACTGAACACAGTCGTGAAAATGATGCGTGTGCACCTCATTCCTTCATGTTTATCTCTAGAACATTTAAAGCAGGTGGCAGGGCTTCCCAGAATTATGACATGGATTGAAAGGAACCGAATGAAAAATGTGATTTTCTTTCTCTCCATGCCTGGTAATGTTTGGAGTGTTGCTTGGCTAGTCAGCCTCTAAGTTCGTAATCAAGGAGGAGGCTGACACATCGCTCTGAGCAGCCAAACTGGACGATTCATGGCGAGGGTTAGAACCGTTGGCTTCAACTTTGGTTTGGTGAATGGAGATGTTGCTAAGTTCCTATTGTGCTACTCCACATGTCCCACCAGTAGAGGTGACTCAGCTGGTCTGTTGCATGACTCAGCGTGATGATTTGATATCAGGTGATGAAAAATATAATTTTTAACTTCTCCTCCGGTGGAAATCATGTTGATGACATGCTGGATTCCTAAAACCTAAGGCAAGGAGAATCCACTGAGAGCGAAGATGCAATAGGGAAAGAGAAATCTACTAATTCTCTCCAACCATTCCCCAGGTGTTGCAAAGATAAACTTGTTTTTGCTTTTAGTTTCCCTGCCTTTCAAAGATGGAGAAAGATATTTTTAAAATGATACTGTCATTTTCAAAAAAACAGTTGTTAGGAAAAATATTTTGGAAATTGTATCTTGTTGGCTCTTAGGAGATTTTAAAGGAAGACGTTCCACTTAACTAGGATCTGTGTGACTTTTGCTCATACAGAGGTGAGCAAGGCAGATGCAGTTCCTGCCCTTAGGGAACTTACAGCTCAGTAAGAGAAACTTACTTCAGACGAACATGGCGATTTCATGGCAGAGAAGCATGAAAATCTGTAAGAGCACAGATCAAGGAAGATCAACTCACCGGGGGTATAAGGGAAGTCTTCCTTTCTTAGGAAACTACTATCCAAGCTTTGAACTGAAGGAGTAAAGTTGGGTTCAGGGGGTAGGGGCAATTGTTCCAGTGAGAAGGAAGGGCACCAAGGAAGGCCCAAAAGGAAAAGAAACTTGGTATGTTTGAGGTACTTAAATAAGATTAGGGTGGATTAAAGGAAGAGATTTAAAACAAAATGAAAGAGTTGGTTTGAAGCCAGACAACAAAGAGCTGCCTTCATCCATGAATTGATGGAAGAAAAGTCTTCCCACTTTAATGAGTCCATTCCACCAGCTTCTGTTGAGCTCTTCCTCAGCATAAGAACTTCTGAAGGCATGTTGCCATGCATGTTGACAAAGGCTGTGTGTCGTGTGGGAGGCCATATTCCCAAGAGTGAACACACGTGTGCCTTCTGTTGATGGCGTAGAGAAGAAAGGAAGCATTCCAGCAGGTGCACTAGCCTAACACACCCCTGAGGATCAAGTTTGGGAGGAAAACCCAAACATTTTATTGACGTTAAAATCCGGATCTTTCCAAATGTCTTTTCATATTAAGGCTGTCAGCAGTTCTCACTTTAGTGCCTGGTGTCTATTATTGGATATCCTGGTTTCACGTCCAAATTCTAGGCATGACAGAGAAACCCAGTTAGTTAGGTGATGATTACTTTGGTTTTTCAAAATAGTATCCATTTTCATGCCAGATGTTGAACTGATCTACCAAGTCAGATAAGTTGCCCAGTGGGACATTATGGGGAGTGGTAAAGGAGAAGGTGTGGATATGGAGTTCCATAACTTGGAGCGTCTGCTCATGTTTTTAATATGTGGAAAGATGTGATAGTTACATATCTTATAAAGATAAAATTTCCAACGAGTTTCAGCTTCAATTGTCAGTTTGAATTAAGGTTGCACAGGAGGTGATCGTTACATTATTATAAAGATTATTGGCTGGGTCTTTTTTTCTCTCTCCTCTATTATCTTCAAATATCATGAAAAAAAAGTCCTAGACAGAAAAAAAAAAATGATGTCAGCATAATATTCATGAAAGAGAGCTTGGTGGCTTATTCCATGCTAAAGTAGTCTTCACTGGGGATGCCCTTTTGCTCCATAGTAGAAGACCATGTGTTGGCAACTGGTAGAAAAATTCTGTCACAGGCCCAGGTGACAGAGGGCTCTCCTTCAGGAGTATACAGTGTTTCCCTTTCGCACAGGCAGGCACAGGTTATATAACCTGTAGGGATCCAGCTGGCTGTGTGACAGTACTAAAGCTTAACGTGGAGCACCTTGCAGAGCATTATCTCTACTACCATATTTCCTGAACATTCTCCGGTGACAGAAGCCTAATCGTGGTAGCTACAAGTTACCTTAAAGCTGTGTACCATACTAGTGACTTCACACACATTTTCTCATTTTTCCTTTTCTCATTTATTCCTCCCAA